CTCCTGAACAGTGAAAGACTTGTTAGAAGATCGTTTAATTTTTATTTTAATTCAAAGAGTACTTAATGTTAATTATTTTATTTTTAGTGAGTATTTATTTTAGAATTTAGACATGTCTCATGGATATTGGATATTGTGAGCTAAGTATGTAAGGAATGTACCTTTTATTATTTTAAAATTTGATGCGCAAAGTATTCATATAAATTATTTTATCATAATATGGTGTGCGTACAATCAGGACTCTGGATGGGAGTTTGGGTTATCACAATAATACCTTTAGTTCTGAACTTGTAAGGATAAATATTCTCATAAAAAACTATATTCTTTGAGCCAATAATCTTCTCTATTTTTATGTTCATAAGTTTGTATCCATTGATTTGAAAGGAATATCTCAAGAAAACACATCATCTTGCCCTCAGATTAATTTTTTTTCCGTTGTTGATTAAAGTGGAGTCAAAGGCCAAACTTTCAATAACTCTCAAGTGCATATGCGTTAGCTTAGTATGGAATAACAACTCAAAATGGGTTTTATGAGCAATGACTGATGAGGGAGTCCTATTCATAAAGTATATTACAATTATGATAAAATACTTCAAATTGAGTTCACTTTGAAACTTTAGGACACTGAAATATTCAAGATCTATCGATGTTTTCTCTCTACCTTTCCATTTTTCTCTAATGAATGAAAAGGTAGAGAGAAAGCACCAATAGATCTTGAATATTCAAGATCTATTGTCTCAACACAACTTCTTTGATGAATGTTGTATGTACCTAATTACATACTATTTGTATGTGCCTAAAAGAATCTACATTGTGCATTATTTGATGTCATATCTTTCGGGTTCAATGTAAATCAAATTACTTTTCTGCAAAATAAGTGTTTAGACAGAAGTTATCACTTCCTATAAAAAATATTGAAATAGTAATTAATGATATAAAATTGAATCTATTTTATAATTTAATGTTATCATATACCGTGTATATATTAATAAATATTTAACAAATTATTATTTTACTACCTGAACTATTTATCATGTTACGATTAGGTAGTAAAAATTTAATTAGTTGCAGTTAGTCTTTAATTTTATAAAATTTCACGATAACTTTATCTAACTAAAAAAGTTTTGATAAAAATGACACAGATTCTTTTTATTTTGTTTTATGTTTGTTTTTTGTGAAACTTGAAAGTTATAACAACTAAATACTAACATTAATTAAACCAATAGTTTGTTTATTTTGTTTACTTAAAAGATATTTACTAATTATTTCTTTTATTTTAAAAAAAATTATAACTCTAAATAAATAAAATATTTTTAAGTAATCTTTTATGTTACTCGATTAATATACGAAAAACTTTGACTATTTTTATAAAAAAATTACAGTAGAAAATAACATCTCGAAATACTTCTCTAAGTTTAGAGATTAAATTATATAGAAAAAAAATCTAAGACTAAATTATAACATAATCTATAATTTAATTTATTTATAGACTCAATTAGTAATTTGTTCTTAAATATTATAACATAAAATGTTATCAAGATCATAAATTTAAATACATATTTATCATAAATAAATGAAAATATTAAATAAATTTAAATATATGTTATTCTATATGAATAAAAAAAATTATGTAAAATTAAAATATTATCGATTGCAGTAATTTAGTTATTACTAAATATTTTATAATTAAATATTATTATCTTTATGTTAATCTTACAAATCTGATTATCTATTTTTTTTTATATAAATAAAAGAGAATGTTAAATAAATATTAAGTAGAATATGATGATGTGACTAAATGTGCTCTAACTTTATTTACATATATATGGAAGGGTACATTAGAAAAGAAAATTGGTAAATTACTACTTTAATACCTACCCAAATCATTAATATATATTTATTGGAAAAAATTGGAAGACATGTTTAATATACTTTTATTAGATTATAAAATTGGTAAATACTACTGTAAAACATTTCAAAATCACTCACAGATAGGATCCAGCAGTACAACTTATAATTAGATTAAAGTTGTGAAATACATTTTTTAATAATATATACATGTCCTACATATTTAGTGAAAGCTACAAGAACATCATAATAAATATGTTATAGTTACTTATAATACAAGTTAAGAATTTATTACTAATAAAAAATAGATTTTAAGTACTAACTATCTTTATTTACAGCAAACGAAGACTTTAATAAATCTGGGTTTTGTCTTTTAATACATATTGAAATCATTTTCAATGAGGATTTTCAGGTATAAAATGGGCAAATTGGATATATTTCTTGGAAAATTAAAGCCTACCAAGAAATTATAATTTTGTACTGAATTAAATGAAATTATGAGAGAATGGTTACAAGATTGCATTAGATTCACTAAATATAGACATATCTTGAATTGGATATACAGTGAGAATAAGGTTAATAAAATTAACTTCCTAATTTCTGTGTACAAGAGTAATTAATGGTACTGAGGTTGTCGAAATTAAACATGATTTTTATGCTCTCTTTGCTTCTTAAATGCTTCTTTAATGGGTTATGATAATTAATTACCAATATATATATATATATACATGCACACACAGTCATGGTTCAGTACATATATAATTAGTTTAATTTCAATACATTTTATATAATAGTCTTTGGAATCCATATAAAATCTATCAGAGAAGAATTCTCAATCTTCGTTTTCTATGGATTTGTATTTTGTGCGAGACCAAGAAAGAAATTTACTTTCAATTCAAAATCAAAAGTTTGGCAGTCTCTTAAAATCTTTTTTTTTTTTAATTAATTGCAAGACATATATATATATATATATATATATGCTAGCTACTCTTCCTAATTTCATAATTTTAAACGATCCGCTGGCTCCACTATCACCAATAAACTCACAAATAATCATCAATATTTATCAATTCATGCATACCCATCAACTCAGAAAAATATATTATGTATATATATATATATGTATATGTATATTCCTGCAGTATTTCAAACATGATTTGAGGGCATCTCTGGTACTCCTCGTATGTGGTGAAAAGTTTCTATTATGATGCATCAAGGCAACAATATGAGTAGAAGAAATAGTAATATTTTCTAGTATATAATGTTATTATATAGTTATAAAATATTAAGCATGGTCAGTCTATAAGTATAATTTTAAATAATTTTAAAAACAAAATACTCAGTAGGTATACGGATATTTATGAATAATTAATAATTTAATTAAATATACTAAAACATGAGGGACAGCACTATGAGATATATACATATATACCATTCTGTCCTATAGTTCATTATTGCTTTTTTAGTGGTGAATGAATAGAATATGATGTAGTTAAAAGAAAAACCATACAGCACCTAGGAAATCTTTTTGCTGATGAACAATTTAAATAAATATGCCTTCTAGAACTATATATATATATATATATATATATTTCTCTCTCTCTATATATATATATATTGCTATCTCATCTCATCAAACAATTCTTAATAATTTCACTCATTAAAGAACAAAACTAATGCATTTTCTTTCGTTCAGAAAAAATAAAAATAAAAAATTATTAATTTTGTACAGTTATATCAGCACCACTACAGAGTACATATATATAAAACCAATATAAATATTTTTAATTAAATTTATTTGTTTAAAAATTAAGTAATATACATTGGACAAACAAGGTATGTTCTTGTGTAAGTTATTTTTTTTCTCCCTTTGTTTAATTAATTAAGTATAGTCTTAACTAGTGTAGAAAGCAATTCCAGAAAGTAAAGAACCTTAAAAATCATGATCAGCGCCATAATTCAAATGACAATGATTGCAATGATCATGACATCTTGTTAAATGAAATTGTGTATATATATATATATATGTATGTATGTATGTATGTATGCATACATATACGTGTGTGTGTACATATATATATATATATATATATATATATATATACGGTATGTGAATATAAAGGAGGAAAAAGAAATTAGAGAGAAGAAGAAAAGCAGGTTGATAGGGGCCCATGGCATGTCTCCTCACAACACCCATCAGAAAGATTGTGATTTAATTTTCATCTTTTAATTTCTCTTCTTCCACACTGCATCGTTTCCCCTATTCTTTCACCTTCTCAAATTTCCCAACACCTTTTTATCATTTCTTACCAAAAATAAACAAAGACTAATTCTCCATCTTCTCCTACCCAATTTTTCTTTTTAAACAAGCTATTACCACCGTTAAAGTTAATCAATTCTTATCACCACTATGTCAGCTTCAGCTGCTGATCAAGATCATGTAGCTGATCAAGGTAGTTCCTCTCGATCGACCTCTGCGGCTAACAGCCACCAGTCGCAGCCGCAGCCGGCTCCGCTCAGCCGTTACGAGTCGCAGAAGCGTCGAGACTGGAACACCTTTGGACAGTACTTGAAGAATCAAAGACCTCCAGTTTCAGTTTCTCAGTGTAACTGCAACCATGTTCTTGATTTCTTAAGGTACCTTGACCAATTTGGCAAGACCAGGGTTCACCATCATGGCTGCGTCTTCTTTGGCCAACCTGACCCACCCGCACCTTGTGCTTGCCCTATGAAACAGGCGTGGGGAAGCCTCGATGCGCTTATCGGACGCCTTCGAGCCGCCTACGAGGAGCACGGTGGATCTTCTGAGACGAACCCTTTTGGGAACGGAGCTATCCGGGTTTATTTGCGTGAAGTGAGGGAGTGTCAGGCTAAGGCTAGAGGGATACCGTATAAGAAGAAGAAGAGGAAGAAGAATCAAATCAAGTCAATTGATGAAGCAAAGTCGTCTAAGCACTCGACTTAGAATCTCTTCAATGGATATTGGTAAATTGAATTTCTTTGTTCTTGAATTGAATCATACAATCATCATCATCATCATACACAACATATATACATATATACATATGCAAATTCATTAATTTCCTAATATATTCAATTGTAGTAACTTGATCGATCCCACGATAATAATCAGGAAACCATCAGCATATATATAATCTTCTTCGTAAAGCTCTCGATAAATGAGGGTCTTCTTTTTTAATTCTTGATAAAACCCTAAACCCATGTCTGCAAAAACCCTAATCTTGGAGAGAACATGGAGAATGAGCAGCAGAAGGTTAGTAATTAATTTTTTTTTTACCCTAGAGTAAATGCCATGATTGAAGCAAAAGCACACATAGACTCTCTCTCTCTATCCATCTCTATCTATCTCTCCTCTCTCTCTCTCTCTCTCTCAAATCATGCAAATAGCATAAACAGTGTTGTTGTGGTTTCCTAATTAAAAAAATGTCTGAGTTATTTACTTTTTGGATTGTTTATGATTCTGTGTGGATTTTGTGCTCCCCATGAATGGCCATGTGATATATATCATACGTTGCATGTGATTTTTCATACACATATATGTGGAACTTATGTATATTTAAAACGTATATATATATATATATATATATGCGCATAGATTTGGATTATCCTCCACAAAAATTTCCTTATTATGTTAGCTAGCTAACTAGTTCACTGTTGCATGATCCGGACCTTCTTGATCCCCAAGGATGGAAAATTAGAAAAGGACAATTTGGAGCTAGTCTTCTCGGCTCTGGTTAATTCATACATTTAAAATCTGACATAATTATTGGAGTATGAATTTGGTACCCTCTCTGCTCCCTGCCCTTTTTAACAAAAGGCCCAAAGAACAAATAAATAAAAAAAAGAAACTAATTATACATGCATCTCTTGTTAATATTCAGTAATTAAAGACAAACAACTATCCATCATATACACAAAACTCAAAATGTTTTCATGTATATACTCTTCAAACAGTATATTTATATTTTTCAGTAAATATAAACAACTCATTTCCCAAGAGCAATAAATCATAAACTTCAATAATAAATTATTTAAAAACTTAAGTTAGCAATATTTAAAACACTAATCTCTTATGAGAAAGTTATATACATATATTAAATTTTAGGTTTAAACCAATTATTCAAAAATTTTAAACTAACAATAAATAATCAAATATATAATTTATATATTTTTTCCTAGAAATAAGGGTAAACTTTCACTGAAACAATTGGAGTTGATATAATCTTACAATTACACACACTACAACTATGCCCACCACTTAACATAATTTAGATTATTGATAAAGCCAACCTAATACACGTAAAATATTGATTACATTAAATGAAATAACTATGGTCTAAATACTGGTAAAAAAATTAAAAAAATTACTACATATTTCTTTTATCATATTCAAATCCAAATATACGGCAATCGATTACCTTAAAATTGCACCTAGAGAATACTAAGAAAATTAGGTTTTATGTACTAATAAAAATATTTTTTACATTAATATATATATCTATAGATGTACTTATATATGTAAGCACCTAAGAATTGTAAACTTACAAATAATCAAGATAATATATAATAATTTTATAAAAAATAATGAAAACAATATTTAAAATCTTTTAACTATATCATCGTTTTGACTATATATTTGTTTAAGAAGAGTTAAACTTTTAGCATTATTGTAACACCATAAAAATAAGAAAAGAAACTAATGAAACTCACCCCAAAACTAAATAATAATTACAATACATAACAAACAAAGGAAATGATCCCCGAAGTACACAAAGTCCACCATAGATGGTTAGAGAAAGGTTGCTAAATGTTTGCATCATCATGGTGGAAGATGGAAGATGTCCCCTCAGCACCCTCCATACAAAACCTCAACGACCCATAACATTTGAGTTGCTTTTGATAATATAATGAAGATAGCCTTATTGTTAAAATTCCAACCTCGCGGTGATCCTAACGCTAGTTTTCTCAAGTACAAAACATGATCGAAACACATTATTACACGTAATAGGGATAACTTAAAAACTTGACTTCCTCAAGTATCCTAGATTTTACCAAGTATAAATCTGCAAGCTAAAACAAAGTTGGATATACATGCAGAAGATCATATATATTAGGTCGCGTATTGAAACTATAATGTTAACTCGACACAAACAATACTCTTGAGAAAACTTCAAGGAAAAGCACTCAAAAAAATAAGACAACTTATTCACATAAATAGGTAAAAGACAAACTCTAAGCTCAAAATAGTTACAAAATACAATCAATCATCACATTTAGACTGAAGAAATATTGTGCATCTGAAGGTGATTCTTCATCATGAATCGTAGAGGCAAGCCTCCTAATTCTCTTATAGAATAAAACCACTCTCATCCCATCCCACCGTATGCTTGTTTAACTCAATTCCTCTTAATAAGTCCACTTAAGTCCCTCAAATGATCCTTCTCTCAATTAAACATGGCATTTTCAAAAGGATACCCAATGCCAACTTCCCCCTAAATCACACTATTGCCCATAGTCACATCTTGATACACTATTAGTGCAACAACCTAAGAAAACGATGTCAATGATGAACTCTTCAACCTAAATATCTATAAGACTTCACTTTTTTTCCCTTGCCAGTTTTCATTGAGAAAACCATCTATTAGGAACTTTGAAACTCCTACGAGCTAAGATATTTATTTGATAATTCCCTTTTAAAAAGTTTATTCGGAGTAAAAGGGTTTCAATTAAGGGGAGAATTCTATTACTAGAAAATTGGTACACTACAGCTATAACCTTCCTCCATAGACTACTTTTATCTTGCGCATACCTCTATATCTATTTGGTGAGAAATGCCCTATTCATCATTTATAGCCTCTTTATCACCAATCGTCCATGGGGCTCATTCTTTGTCTCTGTATCCCAATTAACCAAGTGTAGTTTTTAATCTATTTGATACTACCAAATATATTTTTCATTAAAGAAATGTAAAAATTAAATAAGTCAAGACACATTAAATCATAATGAGTTGACTAACAGTTGATAAAAATATTTTTTCAAAAACTAATCTCGACTCCATTTTATCTGGGATTGATCTCTAAGTTAGGATTAGTGATACTACTCCCAAATGCAATCCTAAATAGTTTAATGAAAAATAACCATTTTTTCACTTGGTTTTCCTAGCCCAACCTAAGATATCTATGTCCAATAAAGAGATAATAGACAGTGAACCTTTTTAAATTAATATTCAATTTAGATATTGCCTCAAAATCCTTTTGACCACTTCTATCTCTTCCAATCTTGGCCTTCAAAAGATCAAAGTACTATATGCAAAACTGCAAAAATTGACTTGTAACCCTTCTATCTTAACTCTTATCTCAACTAAAATCTCTTTATCACCCCCTCATAAATAATACAGTTAAACATTGCATAGCATATGAGAGAGTGAATCCCCTTGCCTCAACCCTTTACCATATAAAAAAAGATAAGGTAAGTGATTTATACACAAGCACGAAAATTGATACTTTAAACATATAATAGTTCACCCACGTCCTCAATTTTTGTTTGAAGCTTAGCTTTTCAAACATCTTAATCTAAGAATGACCAATTGATCAAATTTGTAGCTTTTCTGAAATCTAACTTAAAGACTAACCATTTTTTTTCCTCTTTAAGTCATTTTTATTATTGTTGCCTTCATTTTTTATTTGTTTGTATTTTTTAATAAAACATATATGAAGTTACCAGAACTTGAAAACTAGACCTCAGGTTTTGATATTAACAAATAATTGATTGAGTTGATTCTGTCGAAGCTTAAGCTGATAGAAAAATATCCAATCAATTATTTTACATCCAAACATATTGAATGCACCTCTAAATTAATTATTATATTTAGTATACCAGTATACAGATATGTAGATTTCACTATGATAGTTTTATAGACTATTGAAAGAAAATTAATTAAGGGTGTATACTGATTTTTACTATAGTTCTTGTTTTCTTTACATCAATCTAGTTACTTGCTTAAAGAGCTTGTTAATTTGGTTAGTTATTATATTAAGGTATTTGTGACTAGATTTCTTAAATTAATGGTTCCCTTATTGATAGTTGTTAGCTTTTGTAGACATTTTGTTTAGCGATTTCTCATTCTTTAAAAAGCAAGTTATTCCAAAAAACAGTGTCAATTATTATGATGTGAGATTTTTTGGTCCTTAACTTGCAAAACAAACGTTAGTCAATAGGCAACAGGAGCCATATATCTTTATGATAATCCTTCGATATTAAAATGAGTAATGAGGAAAGAGATATTAGCATCAGAAGTTATTAGAGTGGTCAAATGTTATATGTTATTTTGGACGTGAGAATATTTATATGAGATGCTTATTTGAGATATATAATGTATAGAGAGAATTTTGGGATCCCCAACTTATAAGGACTGCTTATATATAATTTTTGCTGCTCAGATGGTTACTGTCATGATTAAGGTTAGGTGAGGGGGTAACTAAGATTTTGTTGCCTTAATTCTCATTGGGTCTATAATGATAGTAACATGTCAATTGAACTTAGTAGGGAAAAAAAAATTTTGTTGGCTTTATTTGAGCATCTTTAATGAACTTTTAACTCCTCAAATAATTAGTTATTTGTCAATTGAAGTAGCTTCATGGCAAAAAAAGTTCAAGTATCTAATCTTTAGTGCTAAAAGAACACATCTTATAGATAGAGTAAACATCGAGTAACAAACCTAGCACATATGTAAACCAAGTGAAAACCAAATAAACGATTTCAAACTTCTTTTAGTAAAAAAAATCAGATAAGCTTTGTGAGTAGTCTCTAGCATTTGGTTCCATTATAATTCCCAAGAAAGCACGAGACTTTAATTTTTAGCATATTATATAAGATATATGATTCAAAATATGATAAATAATAAAAAAAAAAAAACTCATCATCTAAAAAAGAAGGATTTTATTTGCTTCCTTATTGTAAATTGTGAAAACTTTAGTTAGAATTACATTCTTTAACCATATGGGGAAAATTATGCTACATGTAATTAACATATTCAAACTAACAATTTGTATAATTATATATTATTTATAATTCAAAACTATAGTAAATTATCTCTCGAAAACTATGACATTTGTCTACATACTAGTATGATAAAAGGAAAAGCAATCACTTCAAGAACTTTATACATGTGAACCATCTTGAAGCTAAGTCTAGCCATATCAAAAGTGCATCCAAAGTACAGTTAGTTTTTTCTTCGTGAACAAGTGCACTAAAAGCCAATAAACCATTGTGCATAACAAAATATTTCTATCATAATTTGGGTACTCCTACCGAATATTTTTTTTTTTTTGTTATTTCCCAACTCTTTCTACCTCATTTATCCTTCTAAACTTTTGTTGCTTTTATTTGGATATGCCTTGATTACATTATGAATTTGTTCTAATCATAGTTAATTTTTCTATTTGTTTATTCAAGGTATTCAACTTTATAGATAACTTTCAATTTTTATTCTTATTATTTGGTTTTTTTAGATTAAGATATATTTATATTACAAAGTTACTCGTTACCTTCATTTTAAAAAAACAAAACAAAATGATCGTTCATAAAACATACGTAATCTCTTGTCATGCACGTTTCATCGAGTTAATTTTTTTTACATGAAAGTATTACGCAATTCAATTGTTGTAAGTGAACAAATCAACTACAACTAACAATTGCATTTGTGAACATTACTTTGCAGGAAAATCTAAGAGAGCGATGGGATATATATATAGACAGACTCATCGCAATTATGCATGTATTCATAGGGAAAAATGTCAAACTTGAAATACTTCATGCATACCCTCTAGACTTCTACTTCCGAATTTTAAATGCTTGTTCCATTTCTGAGTTATAAGCCTAGCAATAGATATATACATGTATGCATATATCATACTTATACTGTTTTAATAGAAACCAAATTTCATGTTTTATGCAATAGATTTATATATGTATACATATACATATATATATCACATTGTTTTGTATGTAGGTCGTTAATTTACATTCTAAAATCCCACAAAATGATAGATATATTAAATTATATATTCAGGAACAGAAAGTGTTTCTTGATTCATCTCCTCGCAAGCATAATACTTTGTTAGCTCATGTTTTATGTTATATTTTAATTCATGCTTTATCATAACATATTTAAGAAAAATATTTATTTTAATAGTTTTAATTTAATGTTATATTAAATAAAATAATTGAAATAAAATTTTTAAAATAATCTAAATTATTAAAGTAATTTTAAAAACATTATATTGTTTAAATAATTATATTAATTATTATTATATAACTTTTTAATATTTATTATTAATTATTCTATAATATAACTAACTAAATCTAATATCATATTCTAAATTGAAATGATTTTTTCATGATAAACTTTACTAAAACATTATTATTATTTTTTTAACTTTAAACTTTACTAAATTCATGGCAGAAGCACCACACACATCAAAAGAATCAGCGCGTTTATCACTTATATATATTGCTTCTATAAATTACTAAAACTATTTAAACTCCTACTTTCATATAGAAATAAACAAATTTCTAAATTTGAAATAAATTTAAACCCTTCACCCCTCTAGAATTTGCCAATCCATAAATAAAAAACCCTTTAGTGGATCCTAAACCCATTCTCAGTCCCATCTCCTCCTGTCAATGGATTAATTTTTGCTTTTGTTATATATATATATATATTTTTTTTTTGGCGACTACTTTAACTAAGAAAATAATATTTTTTTTTTTGACTGAATATATCGTGATTTGCCGTAGCAGCCATGAATTTAAGCACCTTTTGCCACCCCTGGCATTCCTATATCAATTTCTTTTCTATGGATTTTTGGGCATGATTCTAATAATTATAGAATATCTATAATCCAAGAAAATAGTATATTTCTCACCAAAATTGTAACATTTGCCAGAAAGGTAAGTACACTAAAAAGGGAAATCAATCACTTCAAAGATTATATTTATCACCAAATAAGTTTCTCAATTTGTGACAAACTATCAGGAAATTAATTTATGCTTAGAAAAATCAGATGTATAGATCCTAAGTCATATAGTTTCATATAGTTTCAACGTAATCCAAAAAACCTAAAGCCAAATTCAATGGACCCGTTTTTTTTTTTTTTTTTTTTTTTTTGCTGCATATTAATTAATTAATCAAAAATATATTAGTGAGGATGAAAAAATTTATTATAATATAAACATATTTTTTAATAAAAATATGAGATATATATATATATATAGAGAGAGAGAGAGAGATCAATTTTGGACTGAGTTTTGTAAATTTTAAACCTAAAACCAACCGCCTCTACGCTCAAAATGAAGTGGAACAAATTACGAGTTATGAATTTTCTTCCCGTCACTAAATAAACCATCTGTGCTAATGAATTTTGTTCTGTTCCAACTTTAAGATCTGCTGGACAAAAATTGCCCATCTACTCGAATGTTAACAATCCCCGACATGCTAACAATTCATTTCAAGTGTCACAAGCTCCAGGAACAGACGGGATCTATCTCTGCAAGAAAAACAAAATGAGTTGCAACCTGAATTAGAAAAAGTCTGTTCCCTGGAATCTAGATCCCGCGATTTTGAGGCAGAAAAACCACACTCCCTTTCTCAACCTTGAGAGACTTGCATCACAACTTCCAAACATACAAAAGATAAATCACAAGACTCGGAACAATATTCTCTAATCTGTCAATAGTCCTAATCTTGTACATTGCAAGAAAAAATCAAAGTTACAAACTACAATGTCCAACTTACAGATCTTTACCAACTAAACTCAAGACACAAAGGCCACACTCTGGCAACGAGCAACTAGCCAAATTAAGTTATAATAAGTTTTGGCTGAAACACAAATTGCAGGTAGAAAAGTATTTCTTAAGAACTCCATTTCCCAACTCTGCTAAATTTCTTTCGCAAGTATCAGCTAGAACTCTATATACTTGTAGGGTAAGTATAAAAATCAAGATTCTCCATGATTTTAGCCCACAGTAATTCTTTCCAACCTACCACTGACGCCAGCTAGCTATAAATGTCTGTAAGAAAGAACCAAAGATTATTAAAACAAATTCTGCCATAAATCATATTATAAAATCACAAAACTAAATCTATAGCCAAGGAATAGAATATAGCAAAATAGCCTGTAGCTGTTTCCTTATTTCATCAAACATGATTTCATTCTTGCATTGACTTTCTAGTTCAGAAGTAATAATAATAGGGACAGAAGGAAACAAACATCATTCCTAAGTCTTCCATAGTAAAAACGGATAAACTAGAAAGTTGAAACAATAACAGTAATATTTAACTAAGCAACTTCCACAAACATTTGGATAAGTAAAGCACAAACAACCACCACTGCCACGAACAGTGCATAAACATCATTTTAGATTGGTGTTCTCGTTGCAGACATCATATACCAACCAAGATAACAGAAGTCATCACCTTTCAGACTTCATATCTAAGCTCTATCACATTTAAGGATCTGAATCTCAAGCTAGAGCTTCTGGTGGATAACTAAAGGTGATAGGCAAATTGACAGCATAGGATTGTGCAAGTCGACATCTCTACCAAAAATAAGGGCCACTTCACAGAGCAACATAAAAGTTTTCTTTATAGTGCAACTGATATACTGGAAAAGAAAAATAGAGAATATACTAAAATTTGAAAATCAATCCAAGTCAAACCGCAGATATATCTCTAAGAATGAAAATTTGCTAATAGTTCAGATCAGATAGAATTATGTCCAAAAAAAAAATCCAATCCATGAAGCACAGATCCTTAGCTTTCTACAAAGAAAAAGAGAACTCACAAGCAGATTGCATATTTATAACTCATCCCAGCAGCTCAAGCATGGAGGATCAAGTTGCTTGAGGAAAAAACATTTCCAGATCCAAAAGGCACATCACAAAATTCTAAGATAGAAGCCATTAACAATAACACTGGAGCACAAACAAACATCAGTCACTACCTTGAGAAATGCAAAGGACAATCTCAATTCCATCTGATAACCGTTTGTCAATAATTATCAACTAATCCAAGAACCAACTTAACACATACCTAATCCGAAGTCCTTTTTCACAAGCTAACTTTTAATATTTTCAGCATAAACTTTAATTTGAAATGCGGTGTCAAAAGCAGTCTAGCATAGTAGAAATTGTGGCAAAAGCTCACTGTTTCAACCCTTTTTATTAAAAGGAGGTGTTGTCAAAAGGCATTGGAAATGAAAGATACACATTTAGTACCTATTGACATGACTGCCAATTCACTGTTCGCAGGATTACATTAAAAATCTTTTATTCAAAATACCATGTTGCTATTTTACATACAAGTCCAATCAACTGCTGTGAATGGTATTACTATACTTCTCTACCTTTGTGCCTCTGATTTACTCCAAAAAAATTTAGAGTTCATTCTCCAAAGCAATCAATCTATAACAAATGTTTTCTCGGTCCTAGTTTCTTAGGTTACCCTTTTCTGGAATTCAATAAACGTATTTGAGAAAACAACATTAATCAAGTTTGAAAGTAGCACTTCCAATAATCCAAAACTCACACCATTAACATATATACTCCCTACACATTCTCCAAACTTGTTATCTTAATTAACCCTGATCCAAACTTGATCCACTCTACCCTAAAAAACCAAAATTCACATTAGCTAACCAATAAGAACATAACAACATTAATACACGCTAATACCAAACTTATCTATCAGACAACATAATGATCAAAGACTTCAAACTGACCTTAGTAAGCAACAAGGCTTCTCAATGGATGTAGCCTACATCAAATACCTAAAAAACTGTCAATTATCCATATCTGCACCACGTAGGTAAATTATGTTAAACATCTGGCTACCACTCCATGCTTCCAAACCTTGCTTTTACCATTTTGCATGCAGTCAGAATGCTCACTGAAGTGCAACCAAGATTGGAAGCACGGATATTGATATTGACATTGCTAGACAATTAAAAGGGCAAAAATAGTGTGTTAGAAAGATGAACACTAAGTACATAGTTCACACAAGTTAGGCCCGCCCATGTTTGCCAGGCAATTTAAAATGCACATTGCTACGTTGGAAGTAAAGTTTTTAGTGGAATGACAACTCATAAATAAGCTCTATTAAGTGAACACTTGGCAGAATTTTGAGGTTCACGAAGTAAGAGATATGTTTTTTGTTTTTCTGACATATTTATACACTAAGAGTAAAATAATTGCATAATGATCAAAGGAAAGGTAATTAGTATGGTCAACCCTCTTTCTCCCTAAACAGCCAGCAATTCAACTTAAATCCAACAGCCAATAAAATTATACAACCTTCGACCTTCTTCACGCAAGCATCAACGTATCCATAATAGCAAAAAGTTTTAAGAACGTAATCAATTTAAGCAAGATGTAAGCAAGGATTCCTAAATCTAACAAGGATTCCTAAATTAACAAATCCATATAAACAAACAAAACGTCCTCCTAATGCAAAATCAACATGGACAAAAACTAAACTCAACAACAAAGATGATCAGGATGAATCGTTCTCACTCACCACTGGAACCAGAGCGCTTGCCGCGCTTGATCCTCTCCAATTGAACCTGGGTATCCATGAACATCCTCATCCTCTGAACCTCTAAATCCTTGGCAAATTGCATCCTCTGCTTCTCCAAATCCACCATCTGCCTCAACTTTTCTCCCTCAACCCTCTCGTACACCTCACCGAACCTCTCTATCGCTCTCGCTAACCTCCTCAGTCCCCCCTCCTCTCCCTCACTCCCTCCTTCTCCATCCTCCCCCATTCCCTCTCCATCCTCCTCCTCTTCGTCACTCTCCGCAGCTGCCGCGGCCGCAGCAATGGCGGAATAGTTCCTCCTGAAATATCCATCGTCCGGCGCCCCTCTCTTCTGCGGCAATGCCGCCACCGCCGTCGGCGTGCCTGCCTTCTTGTAAGGAAGCGGTAGAGCCACCGGAGGCGAAAATCTAGCAGGAGGAGGAGGCGGCGTCGGTTGATGCGACGCCGTAGGCGAAAACTTAGGTGACGGAGAAGGTTTCTTCTGCGTAACATTAGATCCGATCAAACAATCCATACGCTCATAAAAAGGCCAGGAAGACGTTAGGGTTCCATTAGAAGAGGTAACACGAGCCTTCTCGATCTTGTACTTCTTCTTAATCGTATCGATCCGGTTCTTACACTGAACATCGGTACGGTGCGTCTTTTTGGTGTGACCATGGAGAGCGTTGACGGCGTCGGCGACTTCCTGCCAATCCTTCTGACGAAGGTTCCCACGGTTCAACTCGACGTAACGACGACCCCAAGCCTCAACTAGAGTGGCCGTTGCCTCCTCGCTCCAGCAGTCCTCGCGAACCGGCAAAGGACGAGAAGGAGGGGTTGCAACAGTTGCTGTAGCGGTAGGGTTAGTAGAAACAGACGGCGGTAAGGAATCCGTTTGATCGGCCATGGTGGTGGTGGTGGTGGTGGTGGTGGTGGTGGTGGGGAATTGAGAAAGGCGATTTATTGGAAAGGAAGCGTAGGGGGCTAATATTAGGAAAGGAGAGGTCGGTGCGGCGATGACGCGCCGGACGCATGAGCCGAAAGAGTAGGGGAGAGAGAGGGAATAATAGAGGGAGAGGTAGTCGCCGGGATGTGGGAGAGCGCGTGAGCGGAAGCATTATCGTGCGTTGGTGGCTTGTTGCGGGTTATCGGAATCGGCTCGGCTACGTTTTTTTAGTTGGGGGGACGTACGTTTCCTACATAACTTACCCACTAACAAACACTTGAAACATATTACTTTTACACGCGCATCGATTCTGTCTGACCGTTTTATTCACACAGCAAATTCAACGTTTTTAGTTTCTTTTTTCCCTCTCTTTTTGGTAATGCCTTGGAATTAAGAGTTTATTAAGTGTAGTATTGATGTTTGGACAAGTTGTAAAAACTCCTTCTAGGGTTCTAAAAAGATAAGACATAAATAAATACTCTCTTCTTTTCAAGTAGAATTCAAAATGATATTTTATACTTTAATCTACTTAATTCGAACCGTTCGAATTTGATCTTATATAATTTTTTTGGTTGAAATACAAGTTTGAATTAGGTCTTATTCAGATTAGCAAGAGAAGAGAAATAGGTGAAGATGAATTCGGGCTTGACATTCTAAAATTCATCTAAACTCGATTTATTATGTATATATTTTTAAAAAAATATAAATTAGTATATATTATTAAACATATTAAATATACTCTTAATTTTATTTTCGTACAAATATAACTTAAATCTATATTAATATGAAAAATAAGTAAATCAGAGTTTGAATCAAATAACTCATCGATTCGATCTGAAAAATAAAAAGACTTTAAACTTATCCGGAGTTTGAGGTGAATTCGGGTTTACTCTTTACAGAGGTGAGTCAAATTAAGGTTTAGTGAAATTTACCTTGAACTTATCTAATTGTCTCCTTAGTTTTAGGTATCATTCTAATATAGAATGAGAAATTCTCACTTTTTATCTTTAACATCAAATGTTCACAATTGCTTAATTGATTTAGAGTGAGAGATTAGATAAGAGGGAGAGGCAAAGTGTAACGACCCCGAAAATTTAAAATAGAATATATAATAATTTAAGTGTGGAAGCGAAATAAAAGGTTAAGGTTTACATCCGTTATACAATAATTTAAAAGTACTGAACAAACATTATGGAATGAATTTTCTAAAAGAAACATGAGAAATAAAAAAAGTAATAGAAAATATGAAGTATCTAGCATCTACTCGCAATTTTCTTACGGATCGGGCTCTGGAACCATGTTTTCTTGATCTAAAATGGTTAAATAAAGGATGAACTACATTAGTCCAGTAAGGATATCACACTATATCAACAACATAGAAACAAATATTGGTCGAAAATCAAAACAACTAATGGAGCACTATATTCAAACCAATACATTTATCATTCATAAAATTATTTACTGTTCACTTACCATTGTGAAATTTATGAAAACAACGTATAGAGACAATAATATCATGTAGATTATAACTTCATGAACAAACAGTAACATAGAACATATCATAAATTCATATTCATTAATAATAAATCAAATCATAACCGTTTCTCATTTCACCAGCCTACTAGTATCCATGGGGGTTCATAAGGGTGTCCCCGCTACACGTGAACCTTTTCCTTAACAATCTCAGTTACATGACCGTCCTCATACCCCGTCCGGTATGAGCGCCAAAGACATTAAACCTCAATACCCCATCCGGTATGAGGGTGAAACGGGCCGTCTTCATACTTCGTTCGGTATGAGCGCCAAATTACCAAGTTTCCATATCCCATCCGGTATGAGACAACGTTCACGATAGGGTTCCCTATGTACCCAGTCCATCCACTATCTCTCATGATATCAAGTAAGACTGTCATTCTATTTGTTTACATAATCACACCACTTTCTTATTTTCCCTTAGTCTCCATTATCAAATCAAATATAATCACATAAACAAATAAACATGTATCCAGTAATGCAATCATGTCTCAAATCTCAAAATCAAACAGTTGTCAAGTAAGGTAGTAATACATGCATTTAAACCATAAAATACATAAACCAGATACCATCATGCTTTTAGACTGTAAAATAAATCAACATAAATCAACAGAGAACCATGCCCGGTTCGAGCTCCATTAGCAATCTGTAATTAATTATGCACATCTATTTAATTTGTACAAAATATCATATTATTATTTATTCAAACTTCAATTTTATGATAGGAAATAGAGTAGGAGATCCTTACTTGATTTGACATCAAAAAGTTAAATGGTTTACTGCGCCTATAGTACCAACAAAACGCGCTTATAGTACCAACAAATGTCCCAAAAAAACTCAAAATCAGTCCCAGGGCCTACTCGGCCAATTTAAAAAATCTGGCATAGAGGCTCTACCGTGCTTCGGTGAGTGGCGGCGGTCCGCCTTGGGTCGGCTATTTTCGGCCGAATTCGATCGATTTTACATCGATTCCTGCGAGCACACACACTAAAGGGCCTCGGTAAGCCGAAAAAATACGAAAAATCAAAATTCATCGACGGTAGAGCTCTCTGGTGCGGCGGTTACTCCGGTTCACGTTACGATTAGGTGTTTCGTTTCGGTCAACTTATAGAGAAGAAAACGGTAATCACAACGGTAGAAAAATTACACGGAATGGGAATCAAGAAGGGCCTCATCGGATGCGATTTGTGAAATTCCCTACGGCGGCGCCGCCGGGCTTCGTCGGTGTTTTTGGGCCAATTGGTTAGTTCTTTCACTTTGATTTAGCCATAGATGGGTTTAAAATTAAATTTCGTGCAAAAAAAAATTTTTTTACCTCTTTTAGTGGTCGAAAAGGGTTCCGATGCGGCAATAGGTAGCGACGGTCGTCTCCCCGGCGGTTAGGTTATCTTCTCCGGCGATGGGTTCTGGCAGCTAAGGTTAGGGTTTAGGTGCAGATGGGTTTATTTATACCCATCTGCTTTTGATCTAGACCATCCATTACTTTTGATCTGGACCGTCCGATCGTGATTAAATAGGGAGTGAATCTTGACCGTTCATCATGATCCAATTTGGACCGTCCGTGCGCGATTCACTCTGGGTCATCCGTACGCGTAAGAATGGATCTCAGTCGTTCGATCGCGCGCACGCGGATCGCCCACATGGCTTCCCCCGCGTGGCCTCCCGTGTTAGCGCCTCTGCCACTTAACGCATCCTGGTTGGTCAGGACTGCTGACCGTCTGACATGACGTAATTTTTTTAAATTATATTTTGACCCCAGTTTCTGATTTTTCTTTTAAAAATATCTACAGAATCTAAATTTTCACCCCTTTTTCTAAAATTATTTTCAATTTAATCATTTATCAATTTACTCAATTTTTTTCATTAAATTAAAATAAAACAAAATATAGTAAAATAAATTAAATAATTAGAAAATTACATTTATTAATAAAAAAAAATTAGGTGGGTGTTACACAAAGCCAATCCAAACACTCACAAAAAAAAAAAAAAAAGAGAAAACGAATGAGAATAAGAGTCAATTATGGATGAACACACAAAAGTGCATAATTTTATCATAAATCTATAGATCCAACTCACCTTTTTTTAGATTTTTTTATATTTATCAATAACTATAAGTCAATAAAGATGTGTAAGATACATTAATCTCTATTTCAAGATTTTTCTTTTTTCAAGTGACGAAGTTAATTCAATTTCATACAATTTAATAGGATTCTCTACATGTTTTTTTTTTTTATTCTAAGTAGAATTTACAATTTCGTGTCTATTATTTTTTACTCCAAGTGACATTTAAGAAAGCAATAGCTTATACACGGACCAATAAAAAATATCTCACATATCGTCAAAACCGGAGCATGGTGCATGGGATCCCCGTTGACATTGGCACCACGCGGGAAGCCATGTGAGTGATCCATGTGCCCAGTGATCCGCGTGCCAAGATGCGTTCTCTCTTTAGATGCGATCAAACGGACGAGATAGGTCATGATGGACGGTCTGGATTCGCCACGCCATCAGCCTAAACAGAAAACCATCGAACAGTCCTCCTCGCTCCACATCGACACAAACAGACGACTCGGATCGAAGAGGAGATGATATTTAAATTTCTCTTTGCAGGAGAACCCAACCCTAGTTGCCAGCCCCTGTTGGAAAAGAAGATCGGGCCCCGGCTGCAACGGCACCGAAGCCACCATCGACCGCCAAAAAATGTAAACTTTTCTCCTTCTAGCTCGAAATTCGATTCTAAGTCTCCTTGTAGCCATATCAAAGCAAAAGAGATGACGGATGAATCGAAAACCGTGAGCAAAGCCCGGCGGAGCTGCCACAGCCAAAACCTTAAAATTTCTCCGATGAGCCCTTTCCCATTTTTTGTTTCACACAATTCTTTAACCATTATGTTTACCGTCCCTTTCTATGCAAGATAACTAAAGGAGAAACCCCAGCTACGAAGGGGAACCGGCAGAGCTACCGCACCCGGAGACCCCCCGCCCCCGCTGGCAGGTTTGGTTTTTTGATTTTTCTGGTCAATTGAGGATTCCAAATGTGCTTTTTGTATTCGACCAAAACTGGCTAAAATCGGTCAGGCTGAGGTGAATTGCTGCTATAGACGACAGAACCGGTGCCGGAGCATAACGGTGTCACCATGCTGGAACCCTAAAATTAGCCAAAAAAAAATTTCAATACCGATTTTAGATTTTTGGGGTATTTTTGGGTACGTAACAATTATTTTAATTCCCACAGAAAAAATTCATGAAAGCCAGGGCCTGCCAGGAGGCATAGTGAGTAGCACAACATTTTGAAAATATCGATCCCGGTTAAGAATCTCTCACCCTATTCCCTGTTAAGGTAAATTAAGATTTAATAATCAAATATCTTGTGTCTTGTAAAAAATTAAATAAAACCCTAAAAATAATTACAGGTCACTAGTGGAGCCGGAACCAACCAGTTCATATTTGCTCTAATTTTTTATATACTGTTTAAATTGTTTACTATTATATTGTACGTATTTAAATTGATGATTTTGAATTATTTTCTCAATTGTTTGATTTACGTTACTGCACATTCCTGTGTCGGTCTGTTCTGAAATAAAATATCTCAACTATATTCTTAATTTACATATCACATGTTGACATAACCTACTGTTAATTTCTGAATACGAAATGTTGGCATGAAATTGACGATTGATTGATGATATAGATATATGTATGAAATACTTACTGGGTACCCTGAAAAAAGGTAAACGAATTCAGTACATAGGAAATCCTACTGTAAACATTACTTCAGCCGGACGGGACTGAAGGGTTCCATATCGGAAGGGTTTTAAGAGACATAATTTACCTTCATACCGGACGGGGTA